AGTTCTGAGACTAGCAACTCAATGAATATTTGTAGGATGAATGCACACAAGAGTGAGTAGTATGGCAAATGACAGGAAAGAAGATGGAGAATGAGTTAGAACAGGAGAGGAGAAAGAGAATAAAACAAGAGTTCTCATTGTTCTCAAAAGCAGGACAACATTCCCTGAGAACGTGAGTCAATTGTCTTGGCACCCGGCCGTCAGGCAGACTTTCTACAGACAAAAGACCAGCACTGCTTCTCTCTTGTTCCTTTTTCCACTGCCCTTCCCTTCTTTCCAAACTAGGGAAGTTTGTAAAAGGATGCAAAAAAAAAAAAGTATGTAAAAGCACAGACCACTGGACAAATGGACAGCTGTCCTCTGGGGAAAGCCTAACCAGAGTCTCATTTCGAATGGATACTGATTTCATATCCGTATCACAAGAGAACACGTGTTGAACTTGAACCACCTCAGACATGTTCACAATTTTTGCACTATAGAATGTGGATCTTTTCAGTCCAAAATTTTCATGTCAATATAGTTATATGGGTCCTTTGGTCGAAATAGTAAGATTACAGAGATGTGTACCACAGGGCCCTCACCTGGAAAGTCTTCTCTGACTTCCCCCAGCTAGATTATAATCCCTCCCTCCTCTGAATTCCCGCAGCACCTCGTCTACATTCCCTTATAGCCTTGACATTTTCTACTTGGTGTTATTGATAATTAGGGGCCCGTCTAATCCCCTCAACTGGAGTCCAGTGACTTGAGAACAATGTCCTCTACAAACTCCTCAGAGGGCCTTACTCCTGTACTCCTTGCCATCAGAAGGCCCTCACAATTCTTCGTTTATCTGCTTATATACAAGTGAGTAAATCTATTCTGACTGCAGTTCAGTTAAACTATCAGTCAGAGAGATCCCACAAATATTTTACATCCAAGGTGTTGAGAATGAACTATAGAAGCTACCTCTCTTTCCATGCTCATTTTATGCTCTGCAATGTGCTGTTTTATTTGCATTTTCCTATTTCATTTTTTTATTTCCTTTACTCGCTATTTAATAAAATATATGAAAGTTAAGTTAGGAAATATAATTTTTTTTTAAATTTCAGGTGGACATCATTATATTTTGATTTCTGTATAGATTACATCATGTTCACCACCCAAAGATAAATTACAATCCATCACCACACACATGTGCCTAATCATCCCTTTTGCCCTCCTCTCTCCCCCCTTCCCCTCTGGTAATCACCAATCCAATCTCTGTCTCTACGTGATTGTTTGTTGTTTTTATCTTCTACTTATAGTGAGATCATACAGTATTTGACTCTCTCCCTCTGACTTATTTCACTTAATCGTAATACCATTTCAGCACCTACCGGAACCCCCTCAGGTGGTATGATCCTCTTCACAATCGAGGCAGCTGAGGCTTCAAGAATGAAGTCATTTTCCCACAGAATTGGCAAAACTAGGTTTGAACCCAGGCCATCTGATTCCAAATTCCACGCTCACAGTCATTGTAGGATCCTCCCACCCGGTCAGCAGAGGGAGGCCTTCCAGCTCCTTATCCCAAGAAGCATTTCTTAGAAGGAACCCAGGCCCAGCTGATACACAAACCAGCCAGCTGCCGTGGTCTGAAAGAGCAAGACACTTCCTCACAGAAAGAAATGTGAACAAACTTCTGGGACCCCCGTCCCTGGTCTAACAGGAGAATCTAGCAAGCGAGCTGCACAAGCTCAAACTAAGTGCGGAAATCCACGCTGTTCTGTGAACAGCCGTGCAGGCTCCTAAGCCTGTGTAAGAATGACCTTGCAACCCCACACCTCACGACTGAAGACACCAGCCAGCCAGACCCACAGCAGGAAGAGATAAAGGGCACCTGGCTCACACATTTCCCAGCTGCATTTCTTACAGATTGGGGGAAAAAGTGACAACCCTGGTCCTTGCCTTCCTCCACACATAGGTAACACCAACATTGCAAGGTTTATTTGATGTATAACCAAAAAGCTCCTGTTCCGGAAAGGGGGAAGGACAGTCAGAAGAATAAACTGGACGTCGGGTGCCATGTACGTGTATTATATTTTATTTTATTATTTATTTTAGCCAGACTTATGAAGAACTCCACCCCATAATGACTGACGTGTGGCAGCTGTCAGGGGTGCCACCAGGGTTTGCTGTGGCGCATGGGCCTGCTGGGTAGGCCCGGAGCACGCCCGAGAGACAGAGCTGGTTTCCCCTCCTCAGTTTCTGTTCCTCAGAGCGAGGGCCTGGAGACTCTGACCAAGCATACAATCATACTCTCTTTAGACCCCTCCGCCCTAAGAAGGGCAGACGGTAAACACCTCCTCCCAGGAACACGGTTGGGGGTGGGGGACCAAAACACCAATGGAGGGGGAATGTGTGTGTTTGTGTATGAAGGAGAGGAGGGTGCGGAAACTGGGCGGACAGACGGTAGGGAAGAGGGTGGGGTTAGGAAGCCTGGGGGGGTCAGTAGAGTGGGGGTGGCGGGCACATGCGGGGCGGGGTAGAGATACCGGATATAATGCAGGGAGGACGGGGAGGTCGCTCTGTGGCTCCATTGCCTGCCCCTCCTCCAGTCCCGGGTCCCCAAAGTCCCTGCAGGGTTGGCAGGAGGAAGGAACCTGTGCGCCCCGCTACCCCCGCCCCACCCCCGCATCTCCACGGACAGAGAGCGCCCTCACCTTGCTCCGCCGGGCGGGGTCCCCTCCCGTCTCCCCAAGGCTGTTCCGGGCCCGGATCCCCCGGGGACCGCAGTGACCCGGAGCGCGGGGGCAGCGCCCGGCGGCCTCGGCGCAGCCACTGCGGGTCCCGCTCCCGCCCCCCGCCCGGCAGGGGGAGCGCGCCGAGCGCAGCCGGTGCCGGGACCGCGGCCTCCGCGCGGGAAAGCGGAAACCGGAACCGAGGACTGAACTTGCGAGAACTTCACTTGTGGTTCAAGTCTGCAGACACCGTGACATCTGCAAACAACGTCTAGTGAAGGTGCGGCGCGGAGTCCCTGCGTCCCCTCCACATGGCCGCGATCGCTCCTCCGCGCATCCGCGTCCCCGACCCTCCTGCGGAGAGGTGGCCCGGCGCCCCCCGTGACCGTCCTCGGCGCCCCCGCCCCATCGGGACCGGGACAGACGCGCAGCCACGACCGCGGACGCGCGGGGAGGACCCGCCTCGTGCAGGACCGCGCCCACCGCCCGCCGGCGTCCCACCCGAGAAGGTGAGGAGGGGAGGAGCGGGGGAGTAAGACCCCAGGGCCGGGCCCCCGTCTTCCCGAAGCCACCACCCCTGACTCCGGGCCGCGACCGGCGGGGTTGGCCCGCTTGCGGGGCCAGTAGCCGGGCGGGGGAGGGGCTGCCGGGTGATAAGGAAAGGGAGGAAATCCCTAGACCTTTTGCTTTGGCCTCGCTCCTCCGGTGCCCTTGGGGGAGTCTGGAGCCCGCAGGTGAACAGAGACGAGCAGTAACGTCTCGGGTTTTCTTGAGGCCTTGGCTCCAGCAGGATTGTTGGAATCTATGGTCCACCCATCTTCTGTGACAGACCAGGCGCTGTCTGCCTTCAGCGAGTTTGATGAACGCGGGGGTGCACTTGGTGACAGCGAATCTTGCTCATTTGAGAGGAAAGCATTTGACAGTGTAGGGGAGGAAGAGAATTCCTCTACCCTCTAGGTCCTTCTGGCTGGTCTATGAATTAAATTCACATGAGACAGAATAACAGGAGAAAATCAAAGCCTTATAACATGTATACGTGGGAGAAATCCAGGAAAACTGGGTAACTCGCCAGAATGGCCAAAGCTGTCACCTTAAATATCATCTTCAGCTAAAGACAAAGGAATATGTTGGGGGCAGTAGTTTGGGGCTTCAAAGGGGAGGAAGGCACCTCACGGAAATGGAAAAACAAATATTTGGTAGATAAGAATGGGCTTAGCAAGAACCCTCACAGTCTACTGATACCCAGAATTATCTATGGTGATGGCCTGTCCTGGGGACAGGTAGTTTATCTTAAATTCTTTTAGGTAGTTAGATGAGGAGGTCAAAGTTTCTTTTAGAGTCTTTTGTTCTTAAAAATATTCATGGCAGAGACACATTTTGGCGTGGCCAATTCTGATCCCCCACAAGAGGTTAGGAGTGGGAGAGTGGAGGCAGGAGAGAATAGGGGAAGATGGGCAGGGTGGGGGGGTGTGGACAGAAGAAGCAGGGAGGAGACCAGACAAGAAGTTAGGTGGTGGAAGGCGGGAAGGGGAGCTCACTTCACCTCCAGCAATCTTGCTCACACCAGAAGAGGCTTTTGGCAGTGGGTAGGGAAGGAAGAGAGGTTATTGTGTGTGTGTGTGTGTGTGTGTGTGTGTGTGTGTGTGTGAGGAAGATCAGCCCTGAGCTAACATCTGCCAATCCTCCTCTTTTTGCTGAGGAAGACT